CGTTATTTTCTAAAATACAAAACACACGTTGTTTTCATCTTGTACCTTAGAGGCAAAAAGTTTGGGGGTGCATCTCACAATCCAGTTGCGTAAAGCTTTTTCGACATCGGGCAGACGTTTTGGGGGTGCGTCTTAATTTCAAGAGCATCTTAAAGTCTGGAGAACATGGTATATAATTTAGACATTGATTATATGTTACCGCGTCATACGCGTTGGCTTCGTGTCTCTAGACGAGTGGAAATTATAGCACGTTGCTCGCATTTGAGGCCTTAACGAGGCCTAGAGTCACTTTATATTCAGTAGCTAATTCAATCGTACGGGATCCTTAGTGGTCTTTAAGATCTACCGATGGTGCCCTTTTACGCACGAACCTCGATCTCCACAAGAACTGGCAAACAACTCGACCAAGATCCAGAGGTAGAAGATCTCTTGCTGTTGGGGCCAGAACCCCTAAGCCATATTCGCACACAAATATTCCATTTGATGCACAAAATATTCCATTTGATGCACACATGGAATATTTGTAACTCTCCATTGCGGAACAGACTGTGCAACAAATAACGACTCCATGCCCGGTTCAAACACGAAGGAGGGAGGGGAATCATCACAGAGATACACTCCGCTACGCCTGACGCCATCGTCTGAATCAACCGTCTCAATGTCAAATTATAGTTGTTGCTCTATTTACACTGCATCAAGCACTTTCGGATGCGTTTCCGCAGCCGTCTGGAACGCTCTTTCTTCGGATATTAGGAAGCCACTGGAGCTATGCACTTTTAAATCTAGATTTAAAACTTATTATTTAAAACTGCTTTTTGTGTTTAGTTTGTTGTCCTTCCCTCGCAACCTCCAGTTAGCATGCTCGGGTACGTACAGTGCGAAAGAAGTTCAACATATGTACGTGCAAGATTTTTCACAAAGTCAATATTGCACACTCGAACAAATCCCCCCGCCCGCCCCCCCTCCCAAGTGAACCTACCTACCTATTTTCCCAAACCCGTTCACTTCCCCCGCGCACGGCAATGTCAGCCTGCCCAGAACAGCTGAACCAGGGCATCATTGTCAGCTGCCATGTGGGCAGATAGGCAACCTTAATTGAAAGTACACAACATAACGGGACAATTAAATATACGATCAATTGTGTGTGGGTTTATGTTGATGTGCATGTTCTTGCTTGCAATTACCGATAATAATGCCAGGTAATTACCGATGGAAGTCTCAATGGATCCCACAGACTCGTTTTAAGGATGGTGGAGTTGCATTTTTGCGATGCTTATCCAATTTCATGAAGCAGTGTTTGAATCCACGTGGCAAGAAACCCGCAAGAGATGCACCACACGTACGAGAGAATAACACTCGGAGCTCAGCAGAGGATTCAAAAACCTACTGTCTGTGCTACTATCGCCTGGCCAATTCACAACCCAGCCGATTATGGAGTTTCACAAATGCATGCCATCCGCCTGCAAAGTGTTTGATTGCATGTGTGTACGATATTTCACGTTATGGGGAGCAGTGGCTCAGCGGTTTTGTGCAATGTGCTACGAACCTGGCGACCCGAATTACGATTCCCGCACACGACCAATAACAAGTGGTGAATATTTCAACCGGTCCTGGGCCCTCCCCTATCCCAACTTAGCCTTAAATGAGTACCTGGCAGAACAGTCGATGAAAGGCTATCAAAGGTTGTTTGTCTTTGCTCCATCACATCTGTTAATTATCGACTTGCTGAGATCCTGCAAGAGCTCTTGAACTCCTGTGTACGCAGAGTAAGAGGGCTGTGCTTGCATTCTAATTCGTTGCCATTACAATCCTTGAAAAAAAAGCGCTCACAATCAGAATGCAATGGGGCACAATGACAGATGGCACAACCTCTTAAGACCTCAGAAACTAAGCCCTGTTGTGCCTGGCAAATGCTTCGATGGGGTCAACACCATCCAATGCATCAAACAGGTGTTATAGGCTGCGGCAGAGTTCATTAGTAGATGGCATTGCAGCAAAGTCCATTGCTGTTCTGTAATCTATGACTCCATGTATATGGTCTCAGCTGTTACCAACTCGCGCTGACCAGTTTGGTGAAGTATGGTCATATATCTTCTTGGTTCTTTCGGTAAAGTCATGTAGAATGGAAATAATAAAATAATAAAAATAAAACATCATAAAATAATTCTCACGACGTTTCGGCCACAACGCAAGCAGCCATCCTCAGGTGAAGAACAGGTCTGTCAGAAAGACAGCGTCTGACAGACCTGTTCTTCACCTGAGGACGGCTGCTTGCGTTGTGGCCGAAATGTCGTGAGAATTATTTTATTATGTTTTATTTTTATTATTTTATTATTTCCATTCTACGTGACTTTACCGAAAGAACCAAGAAGATGAATCCCTGCAGTCACGAAAGCTTTAAATGGAAATATGATCATATAACCACCACAATTTGCATGGTGTGGGGAGGCCCTCATCCAGCAGTGGATTGGAAAACAGCTACACATGAAAAAACATTGCATTAACATAAGAACATTTACTGGCCCAAAATGTAATACTAATCATATGAATTCCCACCATAGTTAAAAATACGAATATAATAGTGTTGAGATTTACTTTAGTATAACTGGCAGTGGCCCATAAGTTTAATGTTGGATATACAGGTTAAAAGAGGAACAAATAATGCCACTCATCCCATATACAAAAGTCATTTCATAACACCGTAATATCACCATATCAGTCCTTCAGAAAGTCTAAAATTGAATCCTATATAAAGAGATTATTACGGCAGCTTTCAACTTTAAATCACCCAAGAGTAAACGTGATTTAATTTTTTGTCAAATTATCTCACCTCATTACTCATGTCTTGAGAGAGCATCGCAATGAGATGCATGGAGCGAGGTGGGTGAATAGCGAAGACGCTCTGTGTCAATCACTCAATGGAGATGTTAACTCCCTCGCCTGGTATACAGGAGGTCGTGGGTTCGAAACCGACCCTGACACCTGCTGCTGGATATTTGCATGTGTCTCTCCCCGTGGTTGCACAGTCCTCTGGTTTTCCCCTCCACGTTTAGAATAAACACGGGTTTGGAGCAAATCTATAGCCATCTAGAGACACTGCTGGTAATTTGGCAAATTTCACATGTTTTGGTTATTTAAAAAAAAACCCACGAAATTATCTACTCTTGCATATGATCACGACGCCACCGGCTTTTTAATCTTTGCTGCACTTAAGGCGATTTCCTGCACAAATCTCCATGAAGGCTGTGTAAGAAATCATATTTCCGACCACAGAAAAATTGCCATGATGATGAGCATGCTTACAACTCCGGGCTGAACCAGCCACCGTGAGTTTAAATCCCAAGGTTTGGTCCAACGTCCTCTGAAGTACTCACCGACATAGATTTATACAAGCGCTCAGCAGAGGATGTAGTATATTTTAAAAAATACATACCCTTCCGTCCGATACCAAATGCATTTTTTACTGAAGTCGCGACGCGGCTTTTACATCTTTTTAAATCCTTTATATTAAGTTCACTTGCTTGCTTGCTTGCGCGCTTACGACCGTGCAAATCTTTCGGTCGTTTTTTAACCCACTTCCCGTGATCCAATCGAGCTGACATTTTGCACACAGACTCGTTGTGCGTGACAATTTATTTTCGTGAAAATTTTCTTCCAAAATTTTCAACATTTTAGGAAAAAATAAATTATATTTAATTACCAATTGCTTAATGGTGGCAGGCAATCATCTGACCCATAGGTGGCAGCCATCTCAAGCCAGAGGACGAGAGGACTCTAGCCGCCACGCATATAAAGGATTTATAGTGAAAAACTTTGTTTTTACGGGTTAATTTTTTATTCTCCCCATTTCTCCTGTAATTTCGATATTTTATTCTCCTGTTTCGTTTAAGTTTTGTTCAGCTGCTGGACACACTCCTTAAATGGTCAAGTTTGGCGTAAGCATTCATGTAATTGTATGGCGCTTCATGGAGGCGCCCGAGGATTGACAAAGTCGCATTGCAATAAAGTGTCTCAGATGTAGATGCGTGACGCTATGTTGTGTAGTTGTTGCCGAACAAGGTAACATGTTTTACCCGGTGATCCGTGTAGTAATTTCAAGTTTGATCATCACGGTTGGCTACATAAGGTGTGAAAGAACTCCAACACATCATGGGACCTCCTTTGCCAGTACCAAAATATACTAATAGGGTTTTTCCCCTTTTTTCTGGCAACAAAACTGACACCTTTTCCAAGGAATCATGCTTACATTAACCACAATACTTGCAGTCAAATGCAAACAAAAAACAATACTCTGATCATTTATGCATTGTCTTTGAAACTGATTGGTCCACACCAGAGACAGCTTTCTTTAGAGCCTCGTCTCATATGGTGTTCGACCAGATGACGCCAAAAGGCGCACAGTTCAAAGACAACGCACTACCAGAGTAATGAGAGCTCTGGGTGAGCAGCTACATCATGGGACCTCCTTTGCCTGTACCAAAATATACTAATAGGGTTTTTCCCCTTTTTTCTGGCAACAAAACTGACACCTTTTGCAAGGAATCATGCTTACATTAACCACAATACTTGCGTCATCTGGTCGAACACCATATGAGATCAGGCTCTAAAGAAAGCTGTCTCTGGTGTGGACCAATCAGTTTCAAAAGACAATGCATAAATGATCAGAGTATTGTTTTTTGTTTGCATTTGACTGCAAGTATTGTGGTTAATGTAAGCATGATTCCTTGCAAAAGGTGTCAACTCCAACATACATACATTTTATTTACCCAGGTGAGGATGCCAAGAAGAGACCAGGAAAGTCTCAATTGCAAGAATCACCTGGGGCATGAGTCTGTCAGGAGGGGGGCGATGATCGCCTACTGGCATGACAAAAACCCCAGGTCACAATTGCAAATGAAACTCACCCTGGCCTCTGGTGTCAAACAAAACAAACTCGACTCAACTTAAGAGGCGGAGCAGATCAAGAAAAAAAGCTCAAATAGCTCGGCGGTCAACGTCACCTGTTCTGGTGAATGACGAAAAGGTTGAACCACTCATCCTTGTCTTCCTTGGGCCGCAGCATCAGCACGTCGCCCTTGACGAACATGCGGTGGAGCCGCTCATCACGAATGGAACCTGGGCCAGGACGCAGCGGGGGGGCGGGGGGTTCGAGAGAGGAGTCGGATGTCGGCGACACGAAGGTGGGATGGTGAAAAAGCACGTAAGTTTTCGCGACCGATATTATTCATAATGAAAGTTATTTTGTGTTAGGTCGCGAGTGGTGGTGGGTTAATGACGCATTTATATTCACACGATCTAAGCAAATATAACTTTTATTACGAGTTGAAAAATGTCACCGTCAAGTTTATTTAGTTTAATTTTAAGTTTATTTATTAGGTATAGCGCCTCAAGAGCAGTTTTGAGTACAGATCTCACAGGTAGTGATCCAAGTTTCAGTTTATTGGCGACAGCATTCCAGACCCTTGGGGCATCAACAGCAAAGGCCCTTCCTCCAGTATTTCTACGGCAATAAGGAATGTGAAGCTGATAAATGAGTGAGGACTTTAGGTTACATTTGTTCTTCTAAACAGTGAGGAGATCCAGCGGGTAGCCTGCTGATTTTTTGTAAGTACATCGTGAATAAATAAGATCTGATGCACAAGCCGTCGATCATTAAGAGATGGTAAGTTTGACCCAATGTAGAGATCGCAGTGGTGGGTCCGAAATGGGCAGTTCAATGCAAATCTTAAGGTCGAATGATAAATTGGGTCAAGCTTCTTCGAAGTTGTTGTATGGAAGGCGAGCAGAGGGAAGGCCAGGACCGTGAATGAGCTTGACAGCAAAATACATTCGCAGGCCAGGGTAAAAAGTGACAGGCAGACATGCAAAAGGAATAGAGATAAAACTAAGGAGATTGGACAACGCACGGATGCTTCGGTGAACATAGAACAAAACATTTACGAGACGCAGGAGAAATAAAATGGTCGCGGTGGAGGTGTGAGAGGTGAAGAGAAAGAAAGAGAGAATAATTTTTTTGAGGACAATCCGAAAAGAAAGACAGACAAAAATAATAGGGAAAAACTTAGGATCTTGGGAAATATACAGGTGGTCAGGGGAAAAAAAGAGGCAGGTTTGAGGAAATTGCTAAGTGAGTTTAAAGGGTTGTGGTGGGTGTGGGGAGGAGAAAGGGGTAAATTGGATAAGGCAGCAAAATATATTCTCAGAATAAGGTGAAAAGACAGATTTATACAAATAAAAGCAACATGAAATTATTGAATGCCCATGAAACGACGTTTCGATCGCAACACAAGCAACCATCATCAGCAGTTCTCCTGCTGTCTGTGTTTGTCCCACCTGATGACGATTGCTAGTGTTAAGATCAAAACATCGTGATCTATTAATTTACTATCTAAGTAACTTTACCGAAAGAACCAAAGAGTATGGATTCCTGCAGTCGCGAAAGCTTCAAATCAAGATTGCCCATGAAACGTTCTCATCCCGTTCTGTATAATTCATCAAGTCATTCATTTATTCACGGCAGAGTAATAGCACAGAAAGTTGCGATAGTTTTTTTTTGACTCGGTGTGATGCGAAGATTGGACATGCTCGAAAGTGTGCCATGGAATGAAACAGGTTGAGAAGCGCTGCTGTGCAGGTACATCATCAAAGACACCATGAGCTCATCTCTAACCAATTCTAATGCTTTCTGAAAATGGTTATCATATCGTCAGATGGACAAATGTGTGAAGGCTGAAAACTGTGGTTTCTTTGCAATTCCATCACTTTCAGTAAGTGATGGGAAGTTGAACAGGAGATAAAGTATGTACCGGCTGGGAACATTCATTTGTGCCCAATTGCAACAATCACTGACTTGTAACTCTCTATAAGTGATGAGAAAACAGACAAAACAGAGATCGCGCAGGCTGGAAACATCGACATGTTAGAATTGGCTTCCAGTAATCCTGAGGCAATCGGATTTCTGGATGGAGGGTTGACTCAGGCCCATCATGGCTGAGGTCGATAAAAACGAGTTCGAGTTTGCGAGGAATGCAACAACGGTTGTCCTATGGTAAAACTCGCCCTCGTCATGGGAACGTGGAATTTCCACCGCTGGCTCAGGGCTGCATACAGGAGAGGAGCATCAATGCCTCGGTAGACATTTGAGCCGGAAATCACTTTGGCTTTTAGGCGTTGTCTGCTTAAATGCCTAAAGTACTCCAATAAGCCCACACCCCGGTCTTACTCTTGACAGCTTTGATAACGACGACTCAGGAATGCTGAACCAATAAAATCGCTCTCTCTTCTTTTTATTACGAATGAATTGAACCTACTTTTCCATCATAAATATATCACAATTATATTGGAAGAAAAATATGTGGCATGGACTTCAATTGCGGTTGGGAGCATCTAAGAAAATTACAATTGTAAAAGGTGCATTGGTACAGCTCAAACAAATTCAAGATTCAAGTTCAAACCAGATGAGACACCTGGAAAATTTTGCACAAAGGGCTTGGGTTTCTGTCAACAGTAACCGCATGCTTTTTACGACAATCATCTCACAATGCAGTTTTTTTCTTCTTGGTTCTTTCGGTAAAGTCACGTAGAAGGGAAGTAATAAAATAATAAAAATAAAACATAATAAAATAATTCTCACGACATTTCGGCCACAACACAAGTAGACGTCCTACTTGTGTTGTCGATAAAAACTGCATTTCGATTTAAAGCTTTCGTGACTGCAGGGATAGCCGTCCTACTTGTGTTGTGGCCGAAACGTCATGAGAATTATTTTATTATGTTTTATTTTTATTATTTTATTACTTCCCTTCTACGTGACTTTACCGAAAGAACCAAGAAGATGAATCCCTGCAGTCACGAAAGCTTTAAATCGAAATGCAGTTTTTATCGACAAGCCTTTACCCTTTAAACCTTCACTCGAGCTATATGTCAGCCAGACATTTGGATTCATGTGTATATACTTCCCTAAGTGGTGGCAGAGTAAAGCATTTATTCAAAATGGTTATGTTTAACTGCGCGGAATACATTATTCCCCAAAGAACAGCAGGTACACGCTACGTATTCAGCCGAAGTACACAAAAAATAATGAGCCACATCAATAGCGGGACTCAAAACAAAGTGCAGAGATTATTTGGAGAAATCGCAATTCATTACCATTTATTTCAGGGGTTATTCAATTGCAAATGCGTCCGTTTATATCACGTAATATTGAATTTATAAATCGTCTAAATGGCAACCGCATCTCATTTACAATCGCGGCTCTTGAAAGAGAAAATTGGAGGATGCAACGGTGCATCGTTTATAGCTTTGCACACCTCCGGCGCGTACACGCGTGTGCATGTTGCACGTGTGCACATTGTGCGGCCTTGTTTACAATTCACAGCTGGCTTAGGGCCTTCCCTTGCCACGCGGGTCATGGGGGTTATTTGACCACACTTAAAACGCATTGTGTTGGAATGGCTTGGCGAATTTTGGGAGCATAGCAGTGGACCATATAAAGTACAGTACAACACCGATTACCACCACCCCCACAAGTCACCCAACCATGAGCCGTGTCACTCATCGCGTGTCAAGTGCTTGGAGACTCCTCAGCATAAGGAGAGCAGATTATCGAAACACAAATACAGTAGACTCTCAATTATCTGCGTGCGGTCACGTATGTAGAAATACAATTTAAATTAAATTACAATAAATCACGACGTTTCGAACGCAACACAAGCGCTTGTGCTGCATTCGAAACGTCGTGATTTATTTTAATTAAATTTTATCTTTTGATTTAAAGCTTTCGTGACTGCAAGGATTCATATTCTTGGTTCTTACGGTAAAGTCACGTAAAAGGGAAATAATAAAATAATATTAATATCCCTTCTACGTGACTTTACCGAAAGAACCAAGAATATTAATTTTATCTATTAAAATTTTATTTTATTTCTACATACGTGACTTTACTGAAGAAACCAATGAGTATAACTTCTGCAGTCACGAAAGCTTCAATCCTAGATTATCTGCGTGCGGTTTAATCGTCAGTTGTGCTTAATTTTTAGTAATTTATCCGATCATTTACTTTGTGAGTTTTAATTGATACCGATGAGTGGTTTTTGGCACAGAGATCTGCGGAAAATAGTTACATTTTGGGATTTTCCGCGATTGAGAATTTTCCGCAGCTATCCGTTGCATCATTAGCGCGGATAATCGAGAGCCTACCGTAGATACCATTCTGATTATCAATGTGTACATGCCGTGTGCATTTACCCAATCCAAAGAGAGCCAGTTTGGTGGAGCCTTTCTGCAGCAAGATGGGGCTGATCTCAATCTTCTCTAAGGACGTCGCCCGGCCAAAGTGGTTGATGAGTCCGGAACAGCTGAGTAGGTCCAACGCACACAGCCCTTCCGCCTGAACACAAGCAGAGACCACGTGATGCTGCTATGTGAAGCTCTTGTCATTTTCCGTCCCAAGTTGATTTCGATTCTGCTTTCGGTGTCGTGTCACCAAGCAAAGAATCCACCCAGATTTCACGCAGAGAAGAGAAACCCTTCGTCTTAGGCAACGACTGACGGCAATGGGATATCACGTGGATGCCTCCGAGACCCCTTCAAGTGAACCTTTGGTACACACAGAGTTGAGGGCAGCGCTTTCCCAACCCACTCTGCCACATCATTGTACTGTTTGTCGCATGACCGTCAAACCAATATTCACATTTTCAGACCTGGACCTTCGCTAACTTAAGTATAGAACCACATGTAACGTGATGGCTTTTGTGCAGTTATTGGTGATTGGGCAGACACCATCCACTTGCTACCCTTGAGAACCCGGCTTAATCACAGGCGGCCGAAACCTGGATTCGAAACTTAATGGTGCAAGCTCAGGGCTCTGATCTCTGCGCCACCGATCGCACAATCGAAGTTAAATTCTAACAGCAGCAAAGATTCATACCAGGCTGCGCCGGTAATCATTTTGCAGCACTGAACGCACGAGCGACACTTATGCAGGATTCTGTTATGGACAATTATAAAGTACGGGATTTTTGCTTTCTGGATTTCAGCTGCGGTACAATGTGCACTACTCTTTGCAAGTAATGGAGTCAAACAGTCCTGAAGACAAATCGGTAATTTAATAAAAGTGGCCCATTATAAACGATGACTCGGTGTGCATGCTAAACACGAGGCTATGATTATCATCAGTTGGTCTGCTGCCATCAGTCGGTCTCATCATCAGCAGCCATGATCAAGCCACTGCTGTGTGACGGTCTTGCGATGCAACAAACCATCGGGCTCCTGCCCACGTGCCAATTCCATCCCTGCCACCCTGCAGGCATTCCCTCCTTTGGCTGCGACTTTGTTAGTCTCGACCACTGGTCATCATCCCTTCCAGCTGCCCATGTCACTTCCTTGTTTAAGTTGGCCTCTTACCTGAAATCGAAGCAATGCACTAGCTTGCTTAAGAGCATGGGGTGGGGGAGGGGGTGCCTAAATCCAGCAGTGATCCAGGCTCTTTAGAACAACCACTGTTGACATCTTGACACTCTCATATTATCCTCCCTGGAGGAATGGAGGAGCCAAATCAACCCCTGACCCGAGATTTTAACGCAATAGCACTGCCTACATGGCGCGACACAGAGGCATACACTCCAGCGATACCGCCAATATTTACTTACGTCACAAGCAATATCTGTCTGGCGCTTGCTGTGTGTGTGTGCGTGTGCAATTCATTGCTGCTCATGAGGCTAGGTAAGGGTTAGCCGGAGAACAAGTTTTTTTTTTAAACAATCAATTGAGGGATATGCAAACGTAGCATCATGCAGCTCCTTGGGGGCATCATTACTGTGGGAGTTTATCCCAGTGCAGCGGCAATTAACAAAGTGCACTGCCCTTGAGAATAAACAAACAAACACCAGAATACAACACTGCGGGTGAATATAATACTTTTTTTTTTACTTATGCCTCCCAGCAAATCAACGTTGCCCTTTATTTGTGTTTAAACTGTTAATTATAAATCTTCTTGGTTCTTTCGGTAAAGTCACGTAGAAGAGAAATAATAAAATAATAAAAATAAAACATAATAAGATAAAATTCTCACGACGTTTCGGCCACAACGTAAGCAGCCGTCCTCAGGTGAAGAACAGGTCTGTCGGAAAGACAGCGTCTGAATGAACACCACCAGGCTTGGAAGCGTATATTTAAGCTGGGTTGGAGGGGGAAGAGCGCCCTGACAAAGGAATTTGCATATCAAGAGGAATTTAGCATATTTATGGGAAATGTAGATATGGGATTAGTCACTACTTGTGAAATGCGTAGGAGGTGGGCGGGGGGTTTTCAAAGTCATATTATGCCCGTGCTTTATGCAGGATTAGCTCACCTGAGGACGGCTGCTTGCGTTGTGGCCGAAACATCGTGAGAATTATTTTATTGTTTTATTTTTATTATTTTATTATTTCCCTTCTACGTGACTTTACCGAAAGAACCAAGAAGATGAATCCCTGCAGTCACGAAAGCTTTAAATCGAAATGTTAATTATAAACCCCAACTGGCATTTGCTCGATTCGTTAGCAATGCGTCCAGATTAGTCTGTTCGCAGAAGTTAAGCTGCGTTGAGCCTGGATAGCACTTGGGATGGGTAACCAACCATGTGCAGCAGCATGTTGTAAGCGGACGGGCTACGTGGTGGCAGCAGATGGCAACGCAGCAAAATAAATGGTGGTACTGTACCCCTATGCCACCACGTCTGACACTCTGTGCTTTCCCCAACTTTGCATTGTCACATTTTGGTGACCCCGGTCAACCTTGCAAATGAGACTCTTGGTCTGTTAAAGCGTTCTAGCCTGGTTTAACAGAATCAACTCGACAATTGAACTTGATCAGTGTGGTAATGCATCGGTTAAAAAACATATTAAAGCCATAACCCGCATGGCGTAGGGAGGGCCCTTCATTCCAGCAGTGGACTGACAAGAGTGAGTTGACAAACGAACATCATTTTATCTGCGGCAATTGTATCTGCAGGGTGAGCTCAATTCGCAATCCATATTTTCATTTGTGAAAAGTCTCCTCCTATTCCACACAAATTCACCGTCAACGGTAAGGGTGTGAATACAAACACACACAGCCGTGGATGAAAAGGTTGTAATGGATGATTTTTTTTTTGATAGAAAAAACTTTGTCCAACTCCGATCTCACCTGCACAAGCCCGCAGATGAGATTGATGAAGTTAAAGCAACAACAAAAAAGTGTATTATCCGGGGCATCCACGCACAACAGTTAAGCCAGCAAAGCCAGCAAAGGCCCCCTTGCCCCCGGAGGGGAAAACGAAGTGAAAGATTGGTCCGTGGGTAATCTCAGATTACCCGTGGGATAAGATACAGCGGTAGGATAAGACTTGGTAGAGCAGCGGGCACACGGTGTTATGAACCTAGGCGACCTGATTTGATTCGTGACATTGGCTAACGTCAAGCGAGTCTGGACCAGTCCAGCGCCCCGACCACCCCACCACCGACTATTCACAAACCCGCAACGACCAGCGTGGTGAAGCATTGTCAAACGAAATCAGTGACCGGCCGATGAATGGCGTGGGAACGTCTTCGTCCAGAAGTGATTCTCAAATTGCTGTGGTCTATTTATTTATTTATCTACAGAGGATAAATCAGCTAGTGTGCAGGTGCTGTGTAGTTCATTACATTATGGCATTTGAGTGAATGCCAAAATCTTCTTGGTTCTTTCGGTAAAGTCACGTAGAAGGAAAATAATCAGACTCTGTCTCTCGACAGACCTGTTCTCCACATGAAGATGGCTGCTTGCGTTGTGGCCGAAACGTCGTGAGAATTATTTTATTATGTTTCATTTTTATTATTTTATTATTTTCCTTATACGTGACTTTACCGAAAGAACCAAGAAGATGAATCCCTGCAGTCACGAAAGCTTTAAATCGAAATTTGAATGGCAAAAGCTTGGGGACAACTGCATCCAGCAGTGGACTGACCATGATTGATGATTGATGATGATGAAGACCACAGGGTGGAAGTTCCAGGTTTTACTCCTCGGCCAATACATCACTCGGCGCATACTTAAGGAAAGAAAAATGACTCTTCAACGGATGTAATCCACGTGCTAGTATAAATCGTCACTTTCAAGTTCCCGTCTGCAAGACTTACAGTTTGCTCAAAGCGCTCGAAAGATTATGTCTATTTTTCAACATCATCTCTCTTTTCCCAATTTCGTATAACCTTGCTCAACTCAACTATCTATTACACAACAGTGCCGCTTGTTGCTGGCCGTTTGATGTGATGGGCCTTTTGGGCTTTGTGGTCCGCAACTGTGCAAAAAATGCACAATTAAGGCCAGAGTTTGTATGAAATTCACAATCTTTCTGGAAAACAACTTTGGTGACTGCATTAATGTGCGGATGATGCTAATTTTGATGCTTACTTTTTATGTTGGGGGGGTGGGGAGATAATTTTTGGTGCTGTTGTTGTTGAATCCTTCATTTAACCAGGAGGTGAAATAAACCCACTGAGATGCGACGAAACAACATGGAATCTTTTGGAACCTCGGATGACCTGGTTTCAAAAAGTTTTGTGACGAGGTTGATAACGCTCGTTCTGTACGTTTAAATTCACACGCGTATTTCCGTAAGACGCTGTCTTACCCCTGTAGGGTCATCATGATTCCCATGAACACTGAACACAGGGATGGAGATGTTCAGGTTTGGATCCGCATAGTTGACCCAAGGGAACCTGCAACAAACGAGAGAAACAAGCGCGGTCTTGAATGTTCCATAATCAAACGCAATTAAATCGCTTTTTCAGCAAATGGTAATCGTAATTTTTACTCGATTTTTTTGTTCATTCGGAGCAGCAAAAGCTGGTAACAACTGAATAAGTCATTACAACAGTCATCTTTCTTAACCAAAAATTTGCCCATTTACAGTGTCCATATTTTGAAAACAAATGCTTATCATACTATATTACAAAAAAGTTTGCTGGCTGGCTGGCTACCTGGGCGGATTCATTCTTGCCTGGCTGGGTGCCGTGCCCACCAGTGTTCGTGTGGTGACGTCACCACCCGCCGTGCGTGTGTGGTGACATCACCGCGTAAGTCTGCATGGTGACATCATCGCGTACGTCTGCATGGTGACGTCACCGCGTACGTCTGCATGGTGACGTCACCACCCGCCTTGCGTGTGTGGTGACATCACCGCGTACGTCTGCATGGTGACGTCACCACCCGCCTTGCGTGTGTGGTGACATCACCGCGTACGTCTGCATGGTGACATCACCGCGTACGTCTGCATGGTGACGTCACCGCGCACGTCTGCATGGTGACGTCACCGCGTACGTCTGCATGGTGACATCACCACGTACGTCTGCATGGTGACGTCACTGCGTACGTCTGTGTGATGGCGTCATCTGTGTCCAACAGCGCTAAGCCAGGTTTGTGCGTCGCACTGATGTCACGGCCTCCACCCACCCCACCCTCCACCTCCATCCCAGGTGTGTATCCCACGCAAATGTACGGGACATGCTCTCATGCCATCATATCATTATACTCGTACCATCATACTATATTATGAAAATATATATTATTAGCAAATCACCTTCGTAAGTTGCCTGACACTTAAATGAAGCTTCAGTTAACCACTGCATTTCCAGGCCAGCGATTTTTATTTATTTATTGATCCTACTGGACAAATCTTTGGTAAGCACCTCTCCTGGGAGGCTTAGTAAACATATTTCCCTAGAGGTAGCCGTACACTTGAATAATGCAAGCGTATGCGAATAAAATACTTCCCCAGAACCTTGAAAATTGTTCCCCAATCTTTTTCAGCTTATGCAGATGCATCAGCATCTCTGGGCCACCTTATTTCAATGATCCAAGCATGAATAGAAGACGCCTGCTGCCTTCCAGAATTCCAGTCTTTTCGTTTGCTACTTTGAATACATTGAAGACTCCTGTTTGTTACTTCCATATGTCTTTGGCAAATATACGTTTACTCTGCTGCCTGACGTCAGCATCAGCATCTTTATTTATCCTAGAGAAATCTGATAACCTACAAAGCTCTTTGTCACAGTAGGGACAGGACAGAATGTTACAACAACAAAAAAACAATACAAAAAACGATCAGTGTAAAGTATAGGAAAGGGAAGCAAATCACTAAAAATAAACAGATGAATTTTTGGGATTCATCTTCTTGGTTCTTTCGGTAAAGTCACGTAGAAGGGAAATAATAAAATAAAACATAATACACGAGCATAATATGACTTTGAGACCCCCCCCCCATCACCTACACATTTCACAAGATGTGACTAATCCCATATCTGCCTTTTCCAAAAATATGCTAAATTCCTGTTGATATGCAAATTCCTTTGTCAAGGCTCCCTCCTCCTCTAACCCAGCTTAAATATACGCTGCCAAGCTTGGCGGTGTTCATTCAGACGCTGTCTTTCCGACAGCCCTGTTCTTCACCTGAGGACGGCTGCTTGCGTTGTGACCGAAACGTCGTGAGAATTGAATTTTATTATGTTTTATTATTATTTTATTATTTCCCTTCTACGTGACTTTACCGAAAGAACAAAGAAGATAAACAGATGAAGTATATAACTTCCAATTGCGCAAGTACACCGACTCCCAATCTTGGGCAAGGCAGCAGCACAACAGCAAGAACAATCCCAGACCACACCAAGACAACAACATAAAGTCCCTCAATTAAATTGCACATTTAAAGTCTCCAAGTGATTCCAATCAATCTTTTGGTGAATATTTCCAAACCAAAATCAATGTCATCAGCCAATCTTGAAGTGTACCATCAACCACATCTGTCTAACTCCTCTTGTCTGTGATGAGTGGGTGGGCCCAGTTTCTGATAAAAGAGTTGCTTTCAGATTGTGAGATTTTACACAAGGGCCCTGCGAACATATTCACAATCAGAAATCTTTTTTTTTTTATCCTGGAGGAATCCGATGAGCTATAAAGCTCGTTTTCACAGATGTCCAGTCGGGGCGGCATTTATTCATGGTGTCACCACGTTAATCTGGCATCGAATAACGCAACGACTATTCCATAAACGTAATCACTGTAATACCAGTGATTAAAAAGCATTGGTATTAATAATGAATTCTCTTTGTTTTTTTTTGTTTTTTCGGTAAAGTCACGTAGGTAAAAAAATCTAATAAAATAAATGAAAACAACTGAATTAAATCACGACGTTTCGGGCGCAACACAAGCGTCATTCTTCAGGTGGGGACAACGTAGTGAAAGCACAACGTGCTTGGCCAGGAAGTGCCGACGTTGCTTTGGGCCAAAGAAAGTGGCAAGACATTGGCACCAATAAGTGTCCAATTCATGTGCAACTATAAATAACCCTACAGCAGGATCGTGCGGTAAAAATAAAATCCAAATCTTTTGTAAACTGATGACAGCGAGATGCTGACAAGAGACATTCCTGTGCTCAGGCGCTGGAGAAAACTGGGCTCAGGAGGACCGGAGAGAAAATAGTTCCGCTCCGCTCCACAATCAGCGGCCAAATCCCGTCACACTCGCTGGGGAGACCGACGCTTAAATGATTGAAAGCGCGCTGCCGTTGAATGCTGCACTTTGCCAGAAAACTTTGTTATCTGAAATCCGAGGAAATGGGGAAAGAAAAAAAGGGGAATAATCATCACTGGCCTGGAGGCTCGGCGCTAAAGTGAGTAGGAGGCAGAGTGGCTCACAATTGGAGGCACGCAAATAAGAAACCTGGTTGGGGGTTAACTCAGTCCATCATCCCTCGGGGGAGGAATTAAAAAAACAGTACCACCTTGTGAGCAGGTCAACGGTAGCAGTCCTATGGATAAGCTCTTCCCTGCTATAGGAATGCAGAATATCCACCACTGGCTTAAGCCTGGAAACGGAAGATAAGCACCACCTCAATGATCAATTTGAGCAGGAAATCACTTTGAAACGTCACCTAAAATTGGTGGCTTTGGGCGGCGGCTCTGCTCTGAGGTTGTCGGACCCCTAAAGCAATGCAGTTGCCAAAGTCAGCTGAGCCTCCAGGAGGACAAATGTTCTCACGACTGAGTAGTAATAACAATGCCCTTCATTTATCTCGGAAAACCTGACTGAGTGTCAAGGCTCGTTTTTGGGTGGGCCCTGCTAAGTTTTTTTTCACCGCAAACAAGGAGGAACAAGTGCCTCTTATTTCCCAATTAAATCCGTCTCAAGCAAACGTTTAAATCCTGGCAAAACTTTGGACCACGCCGTCACCGCCGCCACGCTCCTGCTCCAAGGACGTCGTGATATGCCCCAACGTCCCACCTTGAAACAGAAAACGGCGCTCAAAAATCCCACAGCCGTTACAGCCGCAGCATCGACCGGGGGTGGCCTGCTGGAGCCGAACCGCGAAAACCCCCCACATAGTCAAGCGGCCAACACGCCCCGCACCAGAGGTCCCAATGATCGGTCAACCTTAGTAGGCGATACCAAACGCTGCTTACGGACCCAAGGACAAAACTCTGATCTCGGCCGATGTCACATTTGTGTCGTCACGATGATGGGTCCACCTTAGTAGGCGACACCAATCGCTGCTTACGAGCCCAGGAACAAAACTGTGATCTCGGCCGATGTCACATTTGTGTCGTCACGATGATGGGTCCACCTTAGTAGGCGACACCAATCGCTGCTTACGAGCCCAGGGACAAAAGTGCGATGTCGGCCGATGCAACGTCTGCGCCGCGTACTTGCTCCCACCGAAGTTCACCGCTTGGTCGCTCAGCACTTCGAAGGTGACGGGGCGGTCGCCCATGCAGTACTTGCGCAGCGTCTCCATGCAGGCGTGCATCGCCCGGCGGGATGGCTTGTTCTCGTGGAACAGGTCTCCGCCGAGCAGCACGAAGTCCACCTGCGGGCAACACGACACTGTTGATAAAGGTGATAGAGGTGCAGCCCTGCAACTGCTTGCTCGTGCCACTGCGGGCAGAACTGTTGTCCGCAGGTGTTGTCCTTGCCCCGCACCTCTGATTAGCGCGGTTGGCTACATGGTGTATGAAAGAAGTTCAGCATACGAAAATCCATAACTCAGATAAACTCTAGACAGCCCCTCTAGAGGGTGCCTTTGTCCACTCTTTCACGCCGGCCACACGTCTTGGAGGTGGCAGTACCCACACTTTAGCCCACCACACGCGACCCACCGATAAAGAAAGTGGGGGACCTGTTGATGCTGCTGGGTGATGGTGGGAAGCACAGAAGACTATGTATGTATGTATGTTGAACTTCTTTCGCACCGTACGTAGCCAACGTGCTAATCGAAGGTGTGGGTGGAAGGACAACAAACTAAACGCAAAAGGCAGTTTTCAATCTTGATTTAAAAGTGCATAGCTCCAGTGGATTTATTAATAAGCTCCAGTGGCTTCCTAAGTGGGAGCATCGTAAGTACAGTCGAACAATGCTATTCTGGCCCCTACACCACACGGCTCCAGAGCAGCCTGCAACAACGTGGTATTCACAGCGGCCACATGCTGAATCCGGGCTCGATGATGCATAGCTTCCGAGATCTGACAAGAACCAGGAGGGTTCTGGAAAAATGTGTCACACACTGAAACCATACACTGACTTAATAATATTGACGGCCCGGAAAAAAAAAACCCAGTATATTATTCATGAAAGTTCATCTGCAAACATTACAAAGCATGTAAAAAACAAAAGAAATATGACAAGACAACATCAATAATTCACTCATCATCTAGGGAAAGGCATTCACCAGAAAAATAATCTTGATTCGGAACCATGAGAGGCAGAGAATTGTCACCGTGTAACAACTTCAGACAGACTCAGAAACGGAGGCACAAACACAATTTTGCAGCTGCCAAGTCAAATCAAATTCAGAATGGTAATTAAGGATTCCAACGGTATACCTTAAGCAGTTAACTTGTATAATGATCACATTGAAAGTGAAAAGAACTAAAACAAGCTCCATGGCTTAAATTTGTCAGTTTTCACAAGCAGGGAATGCATTTGCATAGAATAGCTTATCCCCTCTGGCCTTTCCCTTTACCCAGCGATAATCAACAAGTTTCAAATCGGGTTGTTAAAGTTGTGTATATTTTGCATTATAATGCGGCCGTCTGGAATGCTCTTCCTTCCGATATTAGGAAGCCACCGGACCAATCCACTTTTCAATCCTCTAGATTGAAAACACATTTTTTTTTAGAACTGCTTTTTGTGTTTAGTTTGTTGTGTCCTACCCGCACCTCCAATAATCGCGGTTGGCTCTGTACGGTACGAAAGAAGTTGCCGGTTCGATCTCCCGGCGGCGTGTCAGTTGAAACAATGAGCTAAGTTTATTAAATCCCTCTGCCACTGTCCACCCAGTGGTGGACAAGCAAAAATAATAATTTAAAAAAATTCAGCAATAGAAATGGGTACACAACAGTTAGTCGAAAGGTAGGTCACGTGTGGTGGGGTAAAGTGTAACTTCTCTAGTTACTTTACAGACATCTGGCAAGCGTGGAAGAGTAAGTCAAACACCTTCTAGAACAGGGGTCGACAACCTACAGCTCCAGAACCGCACGCCAGAGGTCGCAATCGGGTACCCGATACCCGTAGCCTACCCGATACCCGGCTACCCGTACCCTGGTGCGGCCGGGTACGGGTAGGCCGTGAGTCACTGGTGAGTCACCGTTTGTCACTCATTTCCCAACGTCTTGTCTCTTCTCACAATTCAAGTTCCTAGAATCAACCCACCCGCGCCTGCAACATGGCTTCATCCCAGAGGTTGCAATCGGGTACCCGATACCCGTACCCTACCCATACCCGGCCGGGAATCAGGTAGGGTACGGGTAACCCGTACCCGTACCCGGCCGGGTACGGGTACCCGTTTGCGACCCTGGTACAGCCAGGTACGGGTATGGGTAAGGAATCAAAACCCGTTTTTTTCCGAACTCGAAAGCAATGGCTCTGCTTGTTAATTTGGTTGCCAACCCCTGATCTAGAGGGACTATCTTAAGTTCCCTATAATTGAGGCCCTTTCAGCCAGCAGCAGAATGAGCAAGAACTTGCGGGGATGCACCTTTATCTAAGCAGTTTCCCCGCACATACGATTAGCAAGGTTGGCTACGTAGAGTGCGAAAGGCATTCAACATACATACTATGTAAAATCACTGGAGTTTGCCTGACATTGTTAAATGTACTTGTATTAATGTATTTTAGTTCTGAAACAATAACTTATCATGATAAATAAATAATCAAAACTGCAGGGCTATGCACACGGAATAAATATAAATCGGCGTCACACGCTGGCTTCGAGCACTTTGAACGTTCAAGAATTTTGAGTCCAGCCGTTATAAAGCCAATAAATTATAGCAAAAGTCTTTTGCCAGGAAAATTGGGAAATCAGCCAAATTGCTGCTCTCCATGTGCAGCTGCAAGGTGGTGTAATTTCCGAGCACTCGTGCAATTGTATGTCTTCTCTCTTGTACTTATCCATTAATTTACATCACTATTGCCAAACTGTGTAACTGGAATCGGTTGTAGAGTGAATGGGTCATGCGTTCCTTGTTGAAGTAAACAAAATCGGTGGCTCCGTTTTGTGGAAGAGACCCATTTCTGTCCCCGGACGAGGTTCATTGCGATGGATCGCACGTAGTGTTTGATCAAAAAGCAGATGAAGATATTTATTGCGTACTTTTTCTTTTCGAACTCAGCCAGCCAATGTCAAACTCACAACTGGAAGGAAATGGTTGGGGCATCTACTCAATTCTTCCTGGCATAAATATTATATCTTGTATTTGTTTACCCTTTTTATTTCCCCAGGTAAGGCCCCACTGAGCTACATAGCTCTTTTCAGAAGCAACTGGCCACAAATGAAAGCTCAATTAAGTGGCTTTTCATGTGTAAATTTATCGCAGCCAAATGCTCTAAACGCGTGATGTTTCTCAACGTGGAGGGGAAAATGAAGAGGAACCGGAGAGAAATCCACGCGACCACGGGGAGGACAATAAAACGAGTCCTCTTTTGCTTTCACTCAATAATACTTGCGTATGACACAATCACCATAAATGTGGCTGTTCCCCCCAATATCAGGGTAGCTAAGCAGGCTTGAGCCTGGTTAATTTGTGGATGGGTGGCTGGCTTTCTACCAGTGGATCGCCTGGTAATGTGATGTAGGCGCGGGGCTGTAAGGTGACCAGGAGACAACAAAGTGGAGCACTGTCGGCGTTATCTCAGGGGTACAACACATGCCAAACAACTAAACATCCCAAAGCAGGACCCCCTCCTAAGAGAGACTTTGGACACGCACTCATGGGGCTTCCCTGGGTAAGTAATTGGCAGGGAAATTGGCTTCCGCTCACCGCCCGGCTACCTTTCCCGCTCGTCTCTGGCCGCTCGTCGGTCATCTCCGAGCCGTTCGCTATCTCTCCTCCGAGAGATATAAAAGTACATACTAAAAACCTCAGCAATATAAATGGGTACACAACCAGTGTAGTCAATTGGTAGGTCACGTGTGGTGGGGTAAAGTGTGGTTACTCTTCGAGAGAGAGAGAATGAACACTGCGGCTTCGTGTCTCATTCTCCCCCAGTGGGCTTCCTCTCACATGCGTTCTGTTCTTTGGCTTTAGTTATAAGCCATGCATTGCAAGGCTGCTTTGAATCGTAATTGCTAATGGTACCATCACAAGTACAAAGCGACGGGAGAGTCAGTGAATGTGAGCAGTCATTTGCGATGACCTTAGCCTCCTGAGGGTCCTGATATGGGAGCCTTCCAGAGGTGCATGAAAGGGTTCTAAAAGTCAAAGTGTGCTTTCTCCCCAGCCAACAAAACAGCATATGTAGGTAGTCCTATTTCACCGTGCAAATGGAATGGCAATCAATTCGGTTTATGAATTCTGAGCTTGGAATCAGAGCTTCGATCAAAATCAAGAACTTTTTTTTAAATGGCATTGGAGAACCGGTCCTGGGCCTTTCTCAAGGTCGACTCAGCCGTAAATGGGTACCTGTTGAGAGTGTAACGATTGATGCTGTGCAATTTGTACTTTTAAACTTAACTTGCCATCCATTCCACTACGCTTGAGAACCGCTTATTAATCACATGTCTATGTTGGACAGAAACCCAGAATCTCAACGGTGCCAGGCCTGAGCTCTTGACCTCTGATGCAGTTGACCCGACTCGGCGTTTCTCAACTCTGAAATGTAATGCGAGGTCACTTAAGACCGAAAGAGGATTTCCCCAAAACTCTGGCTGTCGGCTTATGAGGCTGGTTGTAATCACCGGCGAAACGTTTTACTCGAATTGTAAATGTACTCTCCAACACAACGGTGTACTGAAGTAGTAATGAAATGGCATGTTTTCAATTACGTGAAAAACCTTAGTAATTGGCTGTGTCGGGTGGTGGCGGGTTTAACGACATATTTATATTTACGTAATTGAACCACAAAAAACTATATTATGGATAATATTAGAGTAGAGTCATGGCGGTATCTGTACAAATGGGCTCTTACCATCTTTTCCACAAATCTTATACACTCAAGAGGTGGTTTATAACCGAAACAACCTTTAAATACCAATTAATTCTAGTCCAAATTTGAGTACAGTAGACTTTCGATTATCCGCGCTAATGAAGGGGAGGGCGACCGCGGATAATATAAAAATCACGGAAAATACAAAAATAAGCATTTTACGCTGATCTCTACGTGATAACACTTTCCTGCTCCCGCGCAGAAGACTCGTGCCCATTAAATGGAACGAACCAAGAATATGAATCGCTGCAGTCACGAAAGCTTTAAATAAAAATTTAGGCAGAGTCATGTCAATCGGTTTTTTTTATAAGGTAAGAGAAATTAACACCGGAGATGAACATTATTTTTTCATTGCAAAATTAGCAAAAACATGTTCAAATAGAATTTTTCGCACTATCTCATTCTCAATTGAGGGTGCAAAGGAAGAAAGCGGCGTTGTTGTCCTACGGACGAAGCACGCGTGAAACAATCGAGTAACAGCGACGGTAGTCGTAACATGGGGCAGCAGCAGCAGCAGTACCAGCTGTCGAAACGTATCACTGGAGGCCTGCGAAAAACAAGTGCCTAGGGTCTACAAGAACCTTAATACTGGTGGGAACCACCTGGTTCTACCAGCCCAGAGGGGATTATTGTGTCCGTCCGTCGTGCATCCAAAAATGGGAGGGGAGGGGCTGGGTGGAGAGGGGAGGGTGGGGAGGGGCTGGGTGGGGAGGGTGAGGAGGGGCTGGGTGGGAAGGGGAGGGTGGGGAGGGGCTGGGTGGGGATGGTGGGGAGGGGCTGGGTGGGGAGGGTGGGGAGGGGCTGGGTGGGGAGCGTGGGGAGGGGCTGGGTGGGGAGGGGAGGGTGGGGAGGGGCTGGGTGGGGAGGGGCTGGGTGGGAAGGGGAGGGTGGGGAGGGTGGGGCTGGGTGGGGAGGGGAGGGTGGGGAGGGGCTGGGTGGGGATGGTGGGGAGGGGCTGGGTGGGGAGGGTGGGGCTGGGTGGGGGGTGGGAGGGGTGGATGTGGGTGGGGAGGGGCTGGGTGGGGAGGGGCTGGTCACCCCGTGGTGCCCTTATAAAACTCAACGTTTAACCTACTCACGCCGGCTTGTGCCCGCCCTCACAATCGGCCATATTTGCGGAATACACCACGCCGCCGTTGACCCTGGCCATTGACCGAGCAACCCAACGTTCCTACCAGCTCCCTCCGCAGGAATGTGTTCCGGCCCTGTGAGGGGATTCGGGGTGTGTTTGTGGCACGAGTAGAAGCTGTGACAGCCGAGAGGTTTACGTACGTCCTTTGAGCGCGCGATCTCCATGATTTCGTCGAACGTCACAAACGTGTCATTGCCACGCACTGCATCCTTCTCCATGTATCCCAGGTGGATGTCGGTGGCAATCAATATTTTAAACGTGTCCTCTTCATTTCTACGGGAGAGGGGTGGGTTGGGAGACATCGTGAGCGCATTGTGAAAAGAGTTGATGTGCCTTCTCGCTCAACTACGTTCTCAATCTTTGCTGTCTCTCTATCTGTTCCCTCCCCCTCCGCATTCGCTCGCTAAGGTCCCACTCCTCACAACTCACACGCATTGTTGCTTTGCTCGACCCACGACCCCTTAATATCTCCCTCATAACCACTACGTCACTGTTCCATCTTCATATTCTCATTACACGGCTTTTCACTCATTAACCCCATTCATTCATGCAATTCATTCGTCATTTACTGCCATGAATTTCACTGTCACCGAATTCACGTATCACAGATTGGCCCCCCATTGCTTCCTCATCTATTTCATTCACCTCGTCTGCACCGTTACATTCACATGTTGTTGTACGGCTGTTAATTCTTTGCCTTGGATAAGGCACTACTGTATATATAATCCGTTAAAATAGGAAGATAAGTTCATGCAGAGAAGGGAAACAGCAACAACAAAATATAACATCGAACACGTTTCGATTAAATGCGGCTATTGTTATTCTTACTGTGTGTATATATACAATGGTGTGGAGCGGAATAAGCAAAGCGGTGAGCGCATTGCACTCTGAGGCCGATGGGACCTGAAAAGCTTGCCCGCCCTAAAGCGTATGTCCAGCATCTGGAGCACGAGATCCGTCACGTGGTATGAGGTCAGTCACGTGGTATGAGCGAGGTCAGTCACGTGGTATGAGGAGCTAGGTCAGTCACGTGGTATGAGGAGTGGGGTCAGTCACGTGGTATGAGGTCAGTCACGTGGTATGAGCGAGGTCAGTCACGTGGTATGAGGAGCTAGGTCAGTCACGTGGTATGAGGAGTGGGGTCAGTCACGTGGTATGAGGTCAGTCACGTGGTATGAGGTCAGTCACGTGGTATGAGTGAGGCGTGGTATGAGGTCAGTCACGTGGTATGAGCGAGGTCAGTCACGTGGTATGAGGAGCGAGGTCAGTCACGTGGTATGAGGTCAGTCACGTGGTATGAGGACCGGGGTCAGTCGCGTGGTATGAGGAGCGGGGTCAGTCACGTGGTATGAGGAGCGGGGTCAGTCACGTGGTATGAGGAGCGAGGTCAGTCACGTGGTATGAGGTCAGTCACGTGGTATGAGGAGCGAGGTCAGTCACGTGGTATGAGGAGCGAGTTCAGTCACGTGGTATGAGGAGCGAGGTCAGTCACGTGGTATGAGGTGAGTCACGTGGTATGAGGAGCGAGGTCAGTCACGTGGTATGAGGAGCGAGGTCAGTCACGTGGTATGAGGTGAGTCACGTGGTATGAGGAGCGAGGTCAGTCACGTGGTATGAGGAGCGGGGTCAGTCACGTGGTATGAGGAGCGAGATCAGTCACGTGGTATGAGGAGCGAGGTCAGTCACGTGGTATGAGGAGCGAGGTCAGTCACGTGGTATAAGCTAGGTCAGTCACGTGGTATGAGGTCAGTCACGTGGTATGAGGAGCGAGGTCGGTCACGTGGTATGAGGAGCGAGGTCGATCACGTGGTATGAGGAGCGAGGCCAGTCACGTGGTATGAGGAGCGAGATCAGTCACGTGGTATGAGGAGCGAAGTCAGTCTCGTGGTATGAGTGAGATCATTCACGTGGTATGAGGTCGGTCACGTGGTATGAGGAGCGAGTTCAGTCACGTGGTATGAGGAGCGAGTTCAGTCACGTGGTATGAGTGAGATCAGTCACGTGGTATGAGGAGCGAGGTCAGTCACGTGGTATGAGGAGCGGGGTCAGTCACGTGGTATGAGGAGCGGGATCAGTCACGTGGTATGAGGAGCGAGGTCAGTCACGTGGTATGAGGAGCGAGGTCAGTCAAGTGGTATAAGCTAGGTCAGTCACGTGGTATGAGGTCAGTCACGTGGTATGAAGAGCGAGGTCGGTCACGTGGTATGAGGAGCGAGGTCGGTCACGTGGTATGAGGAGCGAGGCCAGTCACGTGGTATGAGGAGCGAGATCAGTCACGTGGTATGAGGAGCTAGGTCCAGTCACGTGGTATGAGCGAGATCAGTCACGTGGTATGAGGTCGGTCACGTGGTATGAGGAGCGGGGTCAGTCACGTGGTATGAGGAGCGAGTTCAGTCACGTGGTATGAGGAGCTAGGTCCAGTCACGTGGTATGAGGAGCGAGTTCAGTCACGTGGTATGAGGAGCGAGGTCAGTCACGTGGTATGAGGAGCGAGTTCAGTCACGTGGTATGAGGAGCGAGGTCAGTCACGTGGTATGAGGAGCGAGTTCAGTCACGTGGTATGAGGAGCGAGGTCAGTCACGTGGTATGAGGAGCGAAGTCAGTCTCGTGGTATGAGGAGCGAGTTCAGTCACGTGGTATGAGGAGCGAGTTCAGTCACGTGGTATGAGGAGCGAGGTCAGTCACGTGGTATGAGGAGCGAAGTCAGTCTCGTGGTATGAGGAGCGAGGTCAGTCACGTGGTATGAGATCAGTCACGTGGTATGAGGAGCGAGGTCAGTCACGTGGTATGAAGTCAGTCTCGTGGTATGAGGAGCGAAGTCAGTCTCGTGGTATGAGGAGCGAAGTCAGTCTCGTGGTATGAGGAGCGAGGTCAGTCACGTGGTATGAAGTCAGTCTCGTGGTATGAGGAGCTAGGTCAGTCACGTGGTATGAGGAGCGAAGTCAGTCTCGTGGTATGAGGAGCGAGGTCAGTCACGTGGTATGAGATCAGTCACGTGGTATGAGGAGCGAGGTCAGTCACGTGGTATGAAGTCAGTCTCGTGGTATGAGGAGCTAGGTCAGTCACGTGGTATGAGGAGCGAAGTCAGTCTCGTGGTATGAGGAGCGAGGTCAGTCACGTGGTATGAGGTCAGTCACGTGGTATGAGGAGCGAGATGTGTAAATGCTGCAACTATCGAGGGCCTGAGATCGTGGCAACGACTCGTGGGGAGGCCTCGAGGCGGCGGAGAGAAATCGTGATCGCCGCCGGTAACGAGAGAAACTTACGCGTCGCCCATTGTAAAAGCCCGCTTCTTTAAATCTTCCAAACTCGACAATTCATTCACCGCCAGTGACTCGCAAGACGAGGAGCCTAACACATACTGGGGGGGGCACAACGTACACGATTCTCTTCACCGGTTTGCAAAACACCTTCAGGTAGTACGGTTTAGAGAGAGAGGGGGGGAGGGTGGGATAAAATTTAATGTTTAAATGTTTTAACGCTAATTGTACAAATCGCGAAACTTTCGTCGAATTTCCCGTTTGGCTTTGAGCGGTGTAGGGGTGGCGCGCAATGCGGTTTAGATTTCCCACGCGGTTTAGCAAAAAGCGCGGGAACGGACGGGGGGGAGCGCAACGAGCCAATCAGAAGCCGCGCTGCCACCGCCACGTGGTCGGCTCTGACCAATGGCGGAGTGGGGGGAGACCCCTCTATGCTAATCCGTTGTAGGGTATTTGCGAGAGGCGTCTCTGCGATTCAAGAGCGAAGCCCGCTACGGAAGCCGCAGAGCAGTGAGATCGCGTTTCGTAAATGAAAACAAATACAACCGTGGCCGTCATACAATAATACAATTTTTTTTTACTCAAGACATCCGTCGATAAATACGGCAGCCTTAAATGTATAAAATATGTATATAATGAGGCAAAGTTTTTTTTAGGGCAATTGCCCTTAGGAGGGGGGGTCAGACATTTGTGACGATGCGTGACGTCACATCAAAATTAGCAACTTTAAATAAATATAGACAACACGTTCAACTTAATTAAATCGACTTTTTAATAAATGTTTTCTCCTACAACATCAGAGTGCAGCGCCACATTAAATACGCACTACAATGACAATAGTTTAAAGCGATTTGAAGCATGTTTTTATTTTCGGGGGGGGGGGGGGGCAGAGCTTTGTGACGTCATATTTGAGGGGGGTCTGACTCTTTGTGACGTCATGTGACGATGAGGGGGGGGGGGTCAAACATCGTCCAAAATCGCGTGACGTCATTTATGGACGGCCCCTTATTCAAATGCACAACAATCATTCGCAACACAACACACTGATGAAGCAGATGATGGTCGCGTGGAAGAGTAGACCAATGTACCCTCCAGAGAGGCTCGTCTACAACTCCCTCCTCTAGTGGATGCCCCTTTCTTCTAGATTTGAAGCTTTCGTGACTGCAAGGATTCATATTCTTAGGTTTTTTCGGTAAAGTCACGTAGGTAAAAAATGTAAATGAATAAAAGTAACATAAAATCAAATAAAAATCACGACGTTTCGGAAGACGGAAGCTTGTGTTGCCTCCGAAACGTCGTGATTTTTATTTTATTTTACTTTTATTAATTTAAATTTTTTACCTACGTGACTTTACCGAAAAAAACCTAAGAAGATGCCCCTTTCCTCCAGCAGGGGCGCGATTGAGCAATTGCAGGGCTGCGCCTTGTTGCCCCCACACACACAACGTGGTCCAGATGTCTTGTGACACCCCCCCCCCACCCCCCCAATTAATTTATCCTCACATTTGTTTTTCACTTTGCATATCAATTTCTGTATTAAATAAATCTCACTTTAAAACAATATTTTTTTTTTAATGGGGGTCACAGGACATCTGGACCACACCCTCCCTGTAAGTTGCACACGAGGTAGAACTGAAAGCATGGACAGGTCATGGTGAACTGCTGAGCCATCTGGAATTAATGAATAGTTCATTTCTCCAGAATAGAGGGGTGGGGTTGCGTAAATATAAATGTGTCGTCAAACCCACCACCACCCGACACAGTCAATAAGTAAAGGTTTGTCACGTGAACAAAACATGCCAATTAGTTACTTGTTCAGCACACGGGTGTGTAGGAGAGTAATACCCACCACAACATTTCCAATTCGAGACGTTTAGCCGGTAATTATAACCAGCCTCATCAGGCGACAGCCATGAATGTTTCGATTTAAAGCTTCCGTGACTGCGGGGATTCATATTCTTGTTTCTTTCGGTAAAGTCATGTAGAAGGGAAATAATAATAATAAATAATATTGGTTTTTTTTATTTCCCTTCTACGTGACTTTACCGAAAGAACCAAGAATATAAAGCCATGAATGTGTTGTGGATTTATTCTCCAACACACCGGTGGGCTGTAGTAGTAACGAATTGGCACGTTCTGTTTACGTGACAACCCTTACTCGGGTGGTGGTGGGTTTAACGACACATTTATATTTACACGATCTAACCCAAAAAAAACTCCATTATGATTAGTATTGGTTGCGAAAGCCTACATCAGCGGTCGGGAACCTATGGCTCGCGAGCCATATATATGGCTCTTCCAGTGACGGCATATGGCTCCCAGACAATTTTTGAGTTGAAAAAAAAAATCTGTTTGGAACTGATTTTAAAATACTTGTGATATTGCTTAATAATACCGTGTCATTTTAAAGTAAACAGAAATTAGGTTTGAAGATAAATTTCACGGGTCACGCCTGCTCGAAGCTCAACCTCGCCACGTCGTATGAACCAGACTACAAGGCCATCAGCAAAACCATGCAGCACCAGAAGTCGCATTAAAAGTAAGACATATTTAATTTATTATACGTTAAAAATTACTATATGGCTCTCAATGAAATATATTTAGAAATATTGGGCTTTTATGGCGCTCCCAGTCAAAAAGGTTCCCGACCCCTGGCTTACATGTTAAACTTACGCTGTTTCTCACCAGAGTTACCGGATAATTGTATTCTGAGAATTGCCCAAGCGCAGATTCTGTTGCAAAAAAATAAATGGACATTAAAGACCCCGTTATATTACAGTTCTGGTTTTGAGACATCAATCAAATCTGTAAATAATGAAATATAGCGTGGGCTGGAAAACCACAAGTTTCGAACAAGACGCAACAATGTGTAAATATCTCACAGCCATGTTGGGGGCCGTCCATAAATGACATCACGCGATTTTGGACGATTTTTGACCCCCCTCAATCTAGATTTGAGTTTTTCGTGACTGCATGGATCCATACTCTTTGGTTCTTTCGGTAAAGTCACGTAGGTATAGAAATAAATAAATTAAATCACGACGTTTAGATCGCACCACAAGCAATCATCATATTTGCATAATTTACTTTGATTATCAATTTGAAGATCTTGGTACATCTCAAGCTTTTCTATCACAGATGGTAGCAATAAAGTGCAACGTTTGGTCTGGGTCCATGTACGACATGGGGTGGATGAATTGTAGTATCCCTACTAATTGTGTCCCAAATGAAAAGTTCGAAACTTACCCCCGAACTGCAGCAGTACACTACGTATCTATAGTTACATGTGTCTGCACGACAAACGAGTGCTCAATGATGAGTCATCATTGTTGAAAGGAAATATAAGAGACCAAAAATTACGTCCTATTGTGCGCTAAATTGCCTATGGGGAAAAAATCAAAGCAAGGCGTTGGGAATTGTGAAAGAAGCTGAGTAACAAATCAAAGTAATTTCCTTCCTTAATTTTTCAATGAGGTCCAATTTCACGCTCATTATCAATGTGACAGCCCATTGGTTTCATCGCTGGGAATACATCTCAACAACAGAAATGTGTTTTTCCAGTCACTGTGTTGGTAATAGGATTGTTTTATTTTTACCTACCATATTTAACCACACTGGTTTGGTTAACTAGTCTTGAGGAGACTTAAGAAGGGTTTGTGACCTGTCCTGGTTTTGTTTTTCTTCAGGAAATCTTCATGTTGAGGTAGTTGCGGTCCTGACGTCTTCCCAGGATATTAAAATTCCCAATTTTTGTCAGTTCCATGAAATTATGCCGCTCAAGACGGTACATCTACATGTTGTACCTCAGAGGTGGAAACCATATATATATAGGCCCAAGACCAGTTGAGTTATCATTCACGTTCATGTTAATCATGGCCAGGAATCAACCTCAGGTTGCTAGCTTCATAGCACAGTGTGCTAAACAAATCCCACTTCCCTCCATCAACTGAAATATATCGGCCATGATTACCTTTTATTGAATTTATCCTGGAAATTTGTAAAAGTGATTGTAATACAATGGCTTATACCTGCAACTGACAGGTTAACAGATTGAATAGTATAATACAGGGTTTTTTTGGGGTTAGATCGCGTAAATATAAATATGTCGTTAAACCCGCCACCACCCGACACAGCCAACTAGTAAGGGCTGTCACTTAAACAGAACGTGGCCAATTCGTTACTAGTACAGCACACCGGTGTGTTGGAGAGCAAAGCCACAATATTTACAATCTGAGTACGACGTTTTGCCAGTAATCAACACTCGCATCATCAGCGCGACGGCCAGATTTGTCGAGAAATCCTCCTGTTTTCTAAATAGAGGGATAGAGCGCCACTTGTGTTTACCGAAAGAAAATACACAATTCACGCGTATTTTTCGATTTAAAGCTTTCGTGACTGCAGGGATTCATCTGAATGCAGTCACACCATCACCCCGCACAGAAATGTTCTCTCATCAAGACGCTCATACATCGGGCTAAGAAAGAATACCAGAGCACCCATAGGAAGTCCACGTAGAAAGCTCTGCACATTATGTACGTTTATAAGCTGAACTTCTGTCACACCGTACGTAGGCAACCGTGCTAATTATGTTAGCGACAGACAGGAATTTAACTCAAGTTTTCGGTTTCATAGTACGTTGTGTAAGCCTCTGCACTAACACTCAACATCCTCCAAGCTCTGCTGCGCACATTGTGTTCAGAGCTTTGCACAGATCGATTAAAGAACACATTTCTGGAATGACCACCTCCAAGTGCAAGTCTACAGCACCCAGGTAGTCTCCCATCTAGGTACTAACCAGGCTCAAAGCTACTTGGCTTCGGAGATCAGACATGATCGGGCACATTCATGTCCACTGATTAGCTTTCTAGGAAATTGAATGATATTTATAACATATAACGCACATAATTAAGAGTCGGCATAGGCGAGTGGTACTTGTGGTACTCGTGCAATAATAGTGTCGTCGTCTTCAGATGACGAAGCTTTTTGCTCAGTTTTCATATAATTTCTTCAAAGCGACGATTTGAATTGTCCCATCAGACACAGGACCCTAATTGAGACAGGCAAGGCCCATTGAGCTGAACGGCTCTCACGTCAAGAGCCACCTGGACAATGAAGGCGGCAGCGTTGGCAAGTTGCCGCCGGCTTGTTTCAAGATTCGTTTTATGCTGCTGAAGTTACACGTGGATGTAAAAAAATTTTATACGACGCTCTTAATTTCTTGGGGGGGTGGGGGGGGGATCAATACGCTCGTCACAAACACTGTGTCCTTAAACATTTTAATGGTATGTAATGGTCGACGTTT